AAGTATTTTTATTTGGCTTGCTGACAGCAGTGTCCGGCGCTATCACGACCCTTAGTGGATTTTGGGTCGTGACACGCAGCGTGCGCCGCGTCTTTGGAATCTTCCAGCAGTCTGTCAGAAACAGATCTCTGAACTTCCCCACAAGCATACCGCACAGTGCGTCGCAGCGTGCAGCGTGCCTGTACAAATTTTACAGAGACAAGTCCTGTTTCACGCAGGAAAGGGAGCTTCGTTTGGGCGCGACCCTACTTGGTATAAATACATATAAAAACGCTATTTTGAGGACTTTTGACACACTGGAGACCTAGGGAGACTATTTCGGAAGGGAGAAAACATTTGGAGCCATTTCCGGAGGAGATTATCATCGAATTCTTCATTCCTTCATCTTTACTTTGTAATTTGATTATGCAAATTATTTGGGAAATCGTTACTATGAGCATGAGTAGCTAAATACATAATCTAGGAGTTTTTATGGAACATGTTGAAGGATGATTTTCTCGTTATGTTAATATAGATTTGCCATAGTATTCTCTCTATTTGTTCAACTATATGCTTATTGTTGTTGATTGAAGGGCCCTCAATTAGATGTTCCTATTTAGTGTGCATTACTCGGGAGAGAGTGCATATTTAGGTAGTTTTTGAACATCATCACTCCTAACGTATATGAGGGATCAATACGAAGGGTTTAAAGGTGGGATTAGAGATAACGAAACCTTGGGTGCGATCTAAGTGAGCTATACTTAAAGCTAGCTAGCATAATTCAGGAGAATATGTCTACTATATTGTTGTAATTACTCGGGAGAGAGTTACGACAGTTATAGTGCTCATGATCGATAGAGAAGACTTAGGCAAATTAATAGCAAACATAGCGAAAAGGATTCCGACAACAGGGGAAATCACAACCTTAGATCATTCACATCCTTGCTTACAAACCGTTTATAGTTAGTTCTTAATTACTATATTTTTATTACGTAATATTTAGTTAATAAATATCCAATTTATCACTCAAATATCCCCGAAGATTGAATATGTTGCCGGAAAGGAGTCTTCTGATGGGTCAAAGAATGCAGCGGTGGTCGATGTAGTCGATGGAGGTGTAACAAAAGACTAAGTCTACTCAATTTTGACCAAAGTGATTTGTCTGAACACTAAAGGAGAGCTTCTTAGGCTTTGTTATGATGGGACACGTATTCTAAATTAATGGGGCAGATGATATGGACGTGTCCTAGATCTATGGTGGAGATGAAGCCAGCTAAAGGAATTTAACTCTTTGTAGGAAGATTCTAGTATGGGTATTTTTGGTTTTGTACATTGTAAATATTCTCTTTGTTCATTTTATTTACACAGTCTGTTATAGAGTTAGTTAGGATAGATAAGATTTATCTAGTACACGTCAGGGATTTTCTTTGTATATAGATACTACTAGTCTTGTACAAGAATTAAAACACAGAAATTGAAAACAATTAGTTTTCCATCTCGTTTCTTCCTAAACATTTTCATGGTATCAGAGCATTGCTAAAAGCAATCGTTCATTTTGTTTCTTTCTCTATATTTTCATTTCTCAGACACCATGGTAGAAACAGTAATTGATCCTGCTACACAGGCTGGCAGATCTTCACAAACTACTTTTACTCCTTCTCAGCAAATTGATTCTTGCCATCCTTACTTCTTAACTTCTTCTGATAACCCAGGAATCAACCTCATCAATATCAACTTTGATGGAACAAGTTATGGAAACTGGCGCAGGGGAGTACTCATCTCTCTCTCAGCCAAAAACAAGCTGGGATTCATCAATAGAACTTGCCCATGTCCATCTCCTGATTCACCCCTGTTAGAGCAGTAGAAGAGATGCAATGACATGGTCATTGCTTGGTTGCTTAACTCACTCAGCAGAGACATTGGAGAGAGTGTCATTTATTCCCAGACTGCTGAAGAACTTTGGAATGAGCTTGAGCAAAGATATGGCCAAGCAGATGGTACCAAGCTATTCCAGCTGCAAAAGGAATTAAACAATATCACTCAAGGATCAAGTGATGTGGCTGGTTACTTTACCAAGCTTAAGAGGATATGGGATCAAATGAAGGTGCTCAATACATTCATGATTTGTAGTTGTGAGTGCAAGTGTGGAGCCAAAACACACAATATTAAAATGAATGAAGACCAAAGACTAATCCAATTTCTTATGGGGTTGAATGAAGCCTATACTAGTGTGAGAGGAAACATCTTGATGATGAAACCTCTTCCTTCCCCTTCCCAGGCATATTTAATCATACTACATCAAGAGACACAGAGAGAGGTACACTCTAACTCTACTCCTATCTCAGACTCTTCGGCTTTTATGATTTCTAGGCAGAAATGGGCACCACAAAGAAACATAGGTGAATACAAAGGAGCAAGTCAGAATGTTATTAGTGGGGGAAAAGAAGAGTGTTTTGTTTTGCAAATACTGTAAAAAGTCAGGGCATGTTAAGGAGGAATGTTATAAGCTGGTGGGTTATCCACAACATTTTAAGTTTAACAAGCAACGAAAAGGTCTAAACGGTAATCAGCAGGTCAATGCAGCCATATGTGGGAATGATCTTACCTCAGGAATTGCAGGAGACACAGTTTCTACACTTGTTGCAAGCCAAGGGTTCACTAAGGAGCAGTGTGACCAGCTAATACAAATGTTCCAATCTGTACAGGGTAGTTCTGCAGCCTCAGCTTCTCAAGCCACTGCAAATGCCAATCTAGCTGGTATACATCATGCTTGCCTACTATTCACTTCTTTTCTTTCTAGATTAACTAATGTCCCCTGGATCCTTGATACTGGTGCTACACAGCACATGACTTTTGATAGAAGCTTGCTTCATGACATAAGAGTACTTCCTTCTCCTCTCTTGGTCAATTTAGCTAATTCCAACAAGGTAAAAGCTTACTCTGTAGGTAGTTTGCACTTATATCCTGGACTAAAGCTACACAATGTGCTTTATGTACCTGCATTTAAGCACAATCTCTTATCAGTCAGCCTCCTTGTTAGGCAAATAAATTTTGATTTATTATTTACTAAGGATGGATGTGTTTTACAGGAACCTTCAATGAGGAAGGGACCACACTTTGGTGAAGCTGCAGCTGGTCTCTATTTGCTGAAGGATAATACTTCTATGTTGGCTGACGCTCCATTTAAGTCCCAATTTTCAGTTTCTTGTCCTGCTAGTAATGCGTCTAGGTCCAGTTTGTCAGAGTCTTTTCCTTGTTTTTCAGAGTCTACTTGTCAAAGGCCTGTGTGCCCAGTCCTCTTGAGTCCTGTTTTTCATGAGAAATCTAATGAGAATATGAATAAAGTTGTTTCAGTTTGCAATATAACTGATTTAGAGCAATTATGGCATTATCGTTTGGGACATTTGCCTTATCATGCAATGAAAATTATTAAAGGACTACCTGTTTCATTCACTGATAAAAGGGAATTTCCTTGTGATGTTTGTCCTATGGCAAGACAATCAAAGCCACCTTTTCCTACTAGCACAATAACCACAAAGCACTGTTTCGACTTGATACATATTGATACATGGGGACCTTATAATACACCTACATATAAAACGGAAAAATACTTCTTAACAGTGGTTGATGACTTCTCCAGAAATACTTGGACTTTTCTTCTTTCTACCAAATCAAATCCATTCCCTATTTTGAAATCATTTCTGGCACTTGTTGAACGACAATTCCATACCAAGGTGAAAGTTATCAGGTCCGACAACGCATATGAATTAGGATCTGGGCAAGTACATAAAGATTTCTTTTATTCTCAAGGTATCATTCATCAGACAACTTGTTTTGAAACCCCACAACAAAATGGGGTGGTTGAAAGAAAGCATAGACATTTATTGGAGACTTGTAGGGCTTTATTATTTCAGTCACATGCACCAAAGAAGTATTGGGGGGAATGTTTACTAACAGCAACCCATTTGATCAATAGGTTCCCTTCTAAGGTACTCCAATTCAAGTCACCTTATGAAATCCTGTTTGGAAAAGAACTAGATTACTCCTATCTAAAACCTTTCGGTTGTTTATGCTTCAGTTCCACTCTTTCTAGAAATAGGGACAAACTTAGTCCTAGAGCTTTACCTGGGGTATTTCTTGGTTATCCTTTTGGGAAGAAAGGGTACAAAATTCTCAATTTGCAGAATGGTCATGTTTTCACTTCTAGAAATGTTAAATTCATTGAGTCTATTTTTACTTTCTCTTATGCTACCCCAATGTCTAAATTGTTCCCTGCTTGTTTTCCCACTGTTGATGATTCTCTTTTACCCCCTACTTCCCCATGTTCTCATCAGAGTCATCTTCCCAGAGACCACCTATTTCTCATTCTGCTACCCATTCCAGTCCTATGTCCTCACCTTTGTCTATGCTTCATGATTCTTTTTCTGACTCAATTCCTACAACTGAAGTATTGCCCTCAACACAAGAGCAACAGCTGTGGCGGTCACAAAGAGATAACAATCCTCCCAAGTATTTATCAGATTATATATGCAATACAGCATTTTCTGTTGTCTCACCTAATCCTCCATTTATTCCTTTTTATCATTGTTCTTTTTCTGCTATGACACCACAAAACCAGTCTATTATTACTTCCATTTGTCAAATAAATGAGCCTACTTCTTACCGACAAGCAATGATGCATCCTGGTTGGAAGGCAGCAATGGATAAGGAATTTGAGGCCTTGAATTCTAACCATACATGGGACATCGTGCAATTACCGGAAGGGAAGAAACCTTTGCCGTGCAAATGGGTTTATAAGGTAAAATTAAAGTCTGATGGTTACCTAGAAAGGCTAAAAGCAAGGTTGGTCATTCGGGGAGATACACAAAGAGAAGGGATCGATTACACGGAGACATTTTCTCCGGTAGTAAAGATGACTACTATCAGATGCATACTGTCTATAGCAGTTAAAAAAATTGGAAACTTTACCAGCTTGATTAAATAACGCATTCTTGCACGGCGATTTGTACGAGGAAGTATACATGAAGTTTCCACCAGGTTTGAATCCTCCAACTCCTTCACATGTCTGTCGTCTTCGGAAATCGTTATATGGACTGAAACAGGCCTCGCGCCAGTGGTATGCACGGCTATCTTCAGCCCTTGCTACAAGAGGTTTTACCTTTTCGCTGAATGATTACTCACTTTTCTTCAAAGTGACTGATGATCTGATTACTCTCCTAGCTGTATACGTGGATGACATTCTAATTACTGGAAACAACAAGGAGGAAATCAGTGAGATTAAGCAATTTTTGGATTTTGAATTCAAGATTAAAGATCTAGGAGAAGCTCACTATTTTCTAGGCATGGAATTGGTCCGAGAGAATGGGGGACTTGTGGTAACCCAACGGAAATTTGCTCTGGAGCTTCTTCATGAATTTGATTGCATTGGTTCTCGGACAGTCTCCACTCCTTTAGAGCCTACTCTCAAGCTGACCTCTACTTGTGGAGCACCTCTTGCAGACCCTATTTCTTACAGAAGGATCTTGGGTAAATTAAATTTTTTGACGAATACTAGGCCCGACCTTTCTTATGCTGTGCAGACCCTTAGCCAATATATGCAGTCTCCTCACACTGGGCACTTCCAGGCTGCTTTGCGCACTCTTCGATATTTGGCTTGCGATCCGGGACTTGGTTTGTTCATGACACCTGACCATTCTTTTCAAATTCTGGCATTTTGCGACTCAGATTGGGCTTCTTGTGCTGATACACGACGATCTGTGAGTGGATTCTTTTTGAGCTTAGGAGGATGTCCAATTTCTTGGAAATCCAAGAAGCAACCAGTTGTTGCTCTCTCTTCAGCGGAAGCTGAATATAGATCGATGCGGCGTTTAGTGGCAGAGATTACATGGATTGTTCGACTTCTTCAAGATCTCAGTGTTCCACCTGTTTTGCCGGTTCCCCTTCACTGTGACAACCAAGCTGCAATACATATTGTAAAAAATCCTGTCTTTCACGAACGAACAAAGCATATAGAGCTCGATTGCCACTTCGTTCATGAAAAATTACTTGATGGATTGATTTCTTTGTCATTCGTCCCATCTTCTTCGCAGCTTGCGGATTTGTTCACCAAAGCTCTTGCGGGTCCGCTGCATCGAAGTCTTCTTCGCAAGTTAGGCATCCGATCTCCGGCCTCCCACTTGAGGGGGGTTGTTGCCGGAAAGGAGTCTTCTGATGGGTCAAAGAATGCAGCGGTGGTCGATGTAGTCGATGGAGGTGTAACAAAAGACTAAGTCTACTCGATTTTGACCAAAGTGATTTGTCTGAACACTAAAGGAGAGCTTCTTAGGCTTTGTTATGATGGGACACGTATTCTAAATTAATGGGGCAGATGATATGGACGTGTCCTAGATCTATGGTGGAGATGAAGCCAGCTAAAGGAATTTAACTCTTTTTAGGAAGATTCTAGTATGGGTATTTTTGGTTTTGTACATTGTAAATATTCTCTTTGTTCATTTTATCTACACAGTCTGTTATAGAGTTAGTTAGGATAGATAAGATTTATCTAGTACACGTCAGGGATTTTCTTTGTATATAGATACTACTAGTCTTGTACAAGAATTAACACACAGAAATTGAAAACAATTAGTTTTCCATCTCGTTTCTTCCTAAACATTTTCAAAATACGTTAATTTCTGTGAGTCCAATAGCTGTGATTGATAGGTTAATTCCCTGTGGGATTCGACTCCGGACTTGTTAACCGGAATATATTTGCAGGGACCGCTTTATCCTTTTTATAAGGTATAGTTGAGCGTGATCAAACGACTCTAACTCAGATTCAATTACATCGATGCTTGAAAATTGTTTGATTGTAGCCATATTTGTAAAGTAGTTGTAGTTCTGAGTGGAGAAAATAGGAATTGAAAAGGGAATTTAACGTATGAAACCGCATAAATCGTGTATTGTTTGAGTTAGTTTAGAATTGTTGTTGAACCCCACGTTTGGGAGACGTGGGTTTCATCCCCGCGATTATTCTTTGTAAAAAGAACGACCAATTCGAGGAAGTATTTATATTTTCTTAATTGCCAGCTCTAATAAGTAATAAGTAAATAAAATAACGGTCAAACATGGGAAGTATCCCTTTTTGTGAATGTGTAGGTCAAAAGAGAAATATTTATTTTATTCTTACTTTCCAAGTCTTACAAAAAAATTAAATAACTGCCCAATATGGCAAAGAGAAATATTTATTTTTTTCTTAATTTCCAAGTCTTATAAATAAATAAAATAACTGCCCAATATGGCAGGCAGTATCCCTAATTTTTTTGAATTCATATGGTTGAATCTTTTTTGCCTATTTTTAGTTTTAAATAATTTTAAAACTCCAATTTTATTGGAGATGTGTCCAAAAAATTAAAATTGATTGTGGTTATGCCACTTGGCATCATTATATGTTTTTGCTTCTCCTTTTATATATAAACTAGTAGTCGTACCCGCGCGATGCGCGATTAATATTAAAAAAAATATTAATTAAATTAAATTATGATCTGGCTTGTTTGGTCCTATTAGATCATATTGCTTTAATAAAATTCAATTGTCATCTTGTTTGTCAATACGATATACCCAATAATGAAATCTCTATTAAATCAAAGGTACTTATATAATCAGTGAATAATTTTTTTATTCTATATTTTTCTTTATTATATTAGCCAATGTTTAGTATTCGCTTTCTCTTTGTAATATATGAGAAGATATATAATTTATTACTGTTGAAATATTTTTTTATTTTAAATTTTATTCTGTTGTTCTTAATAATATTATCTAAATTTTAATGAATAAAATCTCTGTTAAACTAACGCGACTTTGCAGCGTATCGAATAATTTTTTTGTTATGTACTTTTCTTTATTATATCATCCAATATTTAATATTGTTACATTGTTAATAGAAAGTTTTATTAGCATATTACTTTATTTAATATTTTTCTCAGAAAGTTTTCTTATTTCTTTATTTTCTCTTATTTATAATAATTTTAAACTCTAACTTGAAACTACTCCCCAATTTGAATTGGTAATTTATTATTTTTTTAATTTCGTTTTTATTTTAAAATTATTTTAAAACTCCAACTTGAAAATATATCCCGATTTGAATGGGTAGTTTTTCTTCTCTTTCTTTCGTTTTTTTATAGCTAATTTTTTTTTTGTTTTTTTAAGATAATTTATAAACTCCAACTTGAAACTACTCCCACCCAATTTGAATGGGTAGTTATTTTTTTTTATATATTTATATTTTTATTTTTTATTATAGTTAATTATAAGATATCTATATTTATTAATTCAAATAAAGTAACCAATTAATATATATATATATATATATATATATATATATAATTCTTGTTTTTTATATATTGATAAATTCAAAAATAATAACCAATAACTAACTATTAACTAAATAACTAATAGTAACTAATTATGCCATGTGACTTTTTTTAGGCTGCCACTTGGCTTAAAGAGAGGGCTTTTTACTCTCCTTTTAATAATATATAGATAGATATAGATTTGAATTGATAATTTATTATTTTTTAATTTCGTTTTTTATTTCAAAATTATGTTAAAACTACTCCCCGATTTGAATGGGTAATTTTTCTTCTCTTTTTTTTCGTTTTTTTTATCGCTAAATTTTCTTTTTTGCTTTTTTATTTTAAAATAGTTTAAAAACTCCAACTTGAAACTACTCCCACCCAATTTGAATGGGTAATTATTTTTTTATATATTTATATTTTTATTTTTTTATTGTAGTTAATTATAAGATATCTATATTTATTAATTCAAATAAAGTAACCAATATATATATTTAAATTCAAAAATAATAACCAATAACTAATTAGTAACTAATTATGCCATGTGGCTTTTTCTTAGGCTGCCACTTGGCTTAAGGAGAGGGCTTTGTCTTCTCCTTTTAATAATATATACTAGTATACGTACCCGCGCGATGCGCGGATTATTTCAAAGTAAAGAAATGTTATAGTAGAAACAGGTCTTTATTGTAGACTAAATTTAGCGATCACATTCAAAAGAATTGAATCAAAAAATAAATATATGAATTTCATAGGATTATATCTATGCTAGGGACCACCAATATTTATGCACAGAAACATGATTAGCAGAGAAGGTTGGGTAACTGTAATAAGCCAAAAGCTAAAGTAGATTTCCCAAAATTCACTTCCAGTTCATATACACATCGTCCATAGTTGCAGCTCAATATCAGATACTTCAGTTGACTTCACGATAAGTGATTGTTCTCTTTTACATAGCGTTAATGCTAGTCATTCAAAGGTATATGTTTCTCTCAATTAACTGCAGAAACTTACATTACAGAAGAGAAAGCTGAGTATTCATGAAGGATGCATGCTCAAGTTAAAGGCAGCATATAGAGGACTGACATGCTCTATGTTTCAGGCAAACCATTAACTACAAAAATCTACATGTATACTTGTTGTAATTGTACGGAACCGCTCCTGGACAGCAGTAACCCAAATTTTCAGTTTGATTCGTTTGTCATCAAGTTCTATGGTCCTTATCTTGAGATCAATAATGTGAAAGAACTTTTTTGCATTGGAATAAATTGGCAGAAAAAAAAAAGAGAAAACATCTAAATATCAATACTCATATATTCTTTATAGAGGCAATTAATATTCTTAATCTTGTTGGAGACCATGTTACTAAATATTTTTCATGATTTACATTTAAGTTTAAGAGGTTCTCTATTGCTATTCAATGAGAATCCCATCTTATTATGAAGCTTCACTTCTAATCATTTACATCTATATATTTTTCTTTAGGATTTAAACACAAGCAGATTAAGAAAAATACCAAGATATGAAAATAAAAACCGTAGAATGTCAAGAAAGAAATGAGAGGATAACTACTCAATTGTGGTGATAAAACTGGTGGTGAAGGAGCCATCTGAGAAACGTAAAAGGAGACAATTACACACACCTAAAAAATTCAAATATAAGTTGTACGTGATAAAATTCAGAAAAACCAAATACGTAATAATCACAGCGTGTTCATCGTATCAACAAACTAGTTGATCGACCACCGTTGATGGTCTTATTTTTCTAAGCAATTGTATTATAATTCAAATATAGGATCCTTTAAATCATTTGCCGACTTTTCGATAATCTTAGTTGCATTCTTATCCCAGAACAACAAAGAAATTGTACCAGTGCATTCCATCACCTTAACCTGTAGCATGTACCTGGAAAGGGTTTGTGTTTTTTAAAACTTTTAATCTTTAATAATAGTAAAAAAAAAAAAAAAACTATAAATTATGGTCATACCTATAAGTGGCAGATTGAATCTGCTCGCATTTTTTACAATAGAATTTTCCCCCCTCTTTCTCTACTTTCTTTGCGCGATTTTTGCATGCTAAATCACACCATCCACGGTCTAATTCTACGTGTACAATAGTTGCTACAACCTAGAAATTTTCTGGCTGCGCATAAAAATAGTATATACAAATGTTATATAGAGAAAGATAAGATAAAAGTTGTGCTAATTAAAAATTATCAAAATTAAAAAGTAGGTACTCACATGCTTACAGTCACTCAAATTCTCAATAGTTTTGACTTCAATACTTCCAGATGCTAGCTCCTCAACAAGAGAATGAGTTTTGTGAGATGAAATTGAGTAATTCTTTGTGAGCTTTCTCCACACATAGAAACCATTCTGTTTTATTTTTTAAGTTGAGATACATTAATAAATATTAAGACTAAAATTTAATTTGAAATATCCTTAAATTAAGTATAACTTATAAACCTGGAGCAAAAGTAAACAACTTGAGGAAGATTTAAATTGATCCAAAGCTTCGACGTGTGCCAAGTGTTCCTTACCGAATATTGTTCTACACACATAAAATTAATATTTAAGAGCTTACTAATTCTATAGAGACATTGTATTGTAAAGTAATAATTTAATAACCTCGATATCGATGTGCTCTAATCAATTGCATGACGACAACAACAGGGTTATCATTGGATCCATTCAAACGTGGATTATCTGTTCGACAAAGTCTCCCCAAAGAGTTTGTCATGACCCATTTTCATAATAGATCGTGAGGGCGCCTAACACCCTTGTCAGGCAAGCCATTGCGGAAATATTACTAAAATAATCATATTTTTTTTAATTAGAATAATTGGAATAAACACTCAACTTTAAATTTAAAACCAGGAGAGATAAATACCATAATAAAATAGTTATACAACCCTAAAATAATCGTCTACCAAAGTGTGTGCCA